TATATATATATATATAAACACACACACACATACAGCAGATTAGTCAATATGAACCTAATTTAACACAAACTTTGTTTTCTATCACAGCTATAGTGAAAGATCAGGACTCAAAAACTAAACAACTAAATTATGTTTGGACAGACGGTTAAGTAATGCAGTTGTATAATCAAGCATATTAAAACACACAAGTCCACATTTTTATTTTATTATTCAAAACACAGTTATTAGCTGTTTGCCATCTGTTCACGAAATCCCGTTACTTATCAGATACTCCCGTTTACAACCTGTGCACCAAACCGAACCAGCAGTACCAGTACTGGTGTATTGTATTGTTTTCTTTAAATTAAATTATGTATAAAAAACTTCAGTTAGCGACAAGCTACATAAACCATAAATTTCAGTCCTGTTTATATTGGTAAATGAAAAAAAATCTTTATTTTGGTTTATATATTTTTACATCCTATCTGGACAGACATTTTCATGTTTTAGAAAATCCTATTTGTTGTTTACCACAGCCAGTGCTATGCTTTAATAAATTATAATAACCAGAAAAATCCACGTTGATTTTTAAACAAGTTCTAATATTACATTTTAGACAAGCGTAAATAATTTCAGGGACAGTTTAATATTTTAGAGTGAAATTAATTTCTTACACTGTCTCATTGATTGTTTTGTGTGCATATTATTTGGTCTATAAACACACAGCCACAGTCCAATTTCCCAACTGAAGTTGCTTCATCACTTTATTAATGTTGGACAAGACTCTGGACCCCAACAATAAAATGGATTTTTTTAAGATAAATTAAAAGCTGAAGGTGCATTGATAATCCAGATGAAGGTGTTTCAGTATGTGAATTTAGGCTAACGCAAACGATGCTCAACAAGCTAAAATAAATTCTATCATCCTGCTTGCTGAACGTCATACCGGTATTAAAAAACATACTTAATTGCAAATAACTTTTGAAAGCGTTTCTAAGTATTTTGATCTTACCGTGACCAACAAAAACATTCCAGGGCTGGCTCACATGGCGTGATGACTCTCTCTTTCCCCGACTGATGAAGGACTGCAAACTGGGTCTCCTCTGGTCCCCTAACTTCCCCGGCTGCTGCCCCATAAGGGCAGGATGCCAGGCTGTAGCCGGGACTCTCCAAGCCGGTGTCACTTGCTCACGGTCCAAATGGTGAGAGAGGAATCAGGAGAACATAGAAGACCCGTTACTTGGCTCACACTGTCCACTCCAGGAGAATAAGTAATTCAGGACTCATGAGCAGATCCAAATTACTCAAGTATGTCCCTGAGTATCATGGATTAATGGAGTCCGGGTCCTTCAAATGACAAAAGAAGACATTTGGCAGGAATCTAAAAGGAAAAAATAAAAACAAGGACTCGCTGGTGATTTTATAACTAAATCAAAAGGACCCATGCATTATTTCATATTGTGCGCCAAATCTATGTTTAGATTCTGCAAAAAATATTAACATCCATCATTATCTTGACAGACTTGTCCCAACATGTTTCAACATATAGGATAAAGGTGATCACTCTGACCAAGTGTGTATTGATTTGCTGTGCTGGCTCAATATAAAAGGTCAGGTCAACAGAAACTATACAAGCAAAACGCTTTCCAAGGCTTATCATGGCCTTTTTATGTCAGATTTTTCAACCTTATTTTTCCTGCCTGTGTTTAATCAAGACAACTCAATAACTCTACACCTACAGTTTTTACTCCAGTTCCTTTTTTTAAAAAAAGCCAAGCTGGTATTGTTTAACTTTAGTTTACTGAAGCCTACACAAACCTATCAGGGATTGTGTTTTGATCTGAATGAAAACACAAAAACAATTTATCACATAAAAAGTTGACAGAGCACAACTTCCACACTAAAATTTCAAGTTTGTTGGTTGACTGAGCTTTAGTTACAATTTTGCCAGTCTTAATTTGAACTGGTCATAGATGACTGACAATATGCATGTAGCTAGTTTTACCATTTGTTTCTCATTATAAAGGTGCAGCCTTTCAGAATGACTTGGGGTTTATTTATGCACAATAATTTTGATCAGCACTTTAAATTTATAACTTTTAGAAGAGCCTGAAACACTTTTTTGTTAGTCTTATTAGGTGTCTACCTAAAACAAACTAATGAGCAAAAACTCTGCCTTCCTACAGTCCAAGTTATTAAATACTAAAGCAACAATTGGTCATTAACGAGCACTACTAGTAAAGGGACAGACTTCTAACGCTTGATAAAACTTGTATTTTTATATAAATGTGTGTGTGAAACTTACACGACTGCAAACCCCTTTAAATAGCTGATTAGCCGGAGACCTCCAGCTAACGTTGAAGATAGCCATGAAAGCTGGTGGTATGCTGGATGCACGTCGAGCAGTCAACAGTTGGCTCCCCTGTAGGTTAACAACCTCGAACAAGTGCACTAAAACGTCTCCCAACAAACATGTACGAAGACCATACTTTCACATTTTGTCGTCCGAAATCCCAGCAGTAACTTTGTCCTGAACTTCCGTGTCCACTTTTTTTCCCCCACGTCTCGCGGAGCTTCTGCCCCTGTGAAACCCGGAGCAGAGACTTTAAATCAAGCAGGCGAAGAAGTTGAGGAAACTCAGCCGGGGCCGGAGACCAAACCGCACGTCTCTTCCTGCAAGTTCTCTCCTCGGTTTACAGCCGCGGAGCGTTTCGTTACGCAGTCCGCTGTTTTGCGCACTTATTCGTCGCTTTCACGTGAAAAGCGGAGCAGTAAACTTTGGCCGAGTAGCAGCGGAGTCGCCGAGGCCGCCATACTTCCATACACAAGGTGGTTTACAGAAAAATGTGGGTGGGGCGACGTGTTACGTCAGGAGATGCGTGGGCTGGGAAGTTGGGGAAGTGTGCAAGAGATTTTTGGGGAGAGCAGCAAAACACAGGGCTGCTTCATGTGGATGAAAAGTTGAAGAGACACTAAAATCTGTTGCTCCTGGCTCTAATGAGTATTTGTCCACTGGACAATCAAAGCCTGGATGTCAATAAACCTACTTAATGTCAAAGAATAGCTCTTGGTGGTGACTACAAATCTGCTCTGGAAAGTTATGGCAAGCCAATATATCATATAACTGTAGTAAGGCAAGAGCTTCAGACAGTTCCTTGAAGCATTTGACACCTCAACAAAAAAAATTCTAAGTAAAATTTGCACATATTTACAATTTTTTTGTTACAAATTATATTTTTTCTGTAGATATTTGAAATAAAAGCCCAGTCCAAATATCTCCAATCTAAAAATATTTCAACTGGAAAAAATGTCATTAGGGACACCCGGGCCTTATATTGAAACAATAGTTTAAAAGCTATTCCAGACACCAGTAATTGGAATAAGGACCATCAACAATGAATGTAGGCATGCATGTATGTATATCTTTATTTAAGTATGGGTATGTGTATATTTTTATATATGCCCTCCATGTATTTATCCATTTATTTTTCAGGTGAGCGGACAGATGTTGGGTGTGTGGTCCTGTGTTTTGTTGGTGTATATTTAATATACTTCTAATCACTATTTCAATCTTTCTATCTTTCTAATCATTTCTCTCTCTGTTTTTCTCTCTGTCTCTATTTTCTCTTCACTTAAAAAAGAAAAAAGTCACTGACGATGAAGAAATAAATAAACTAAATAAACTAATATTTGCTTTCGTTTTCTACTGAAGTGACAAAAAAAGGACCATCAACAAACAAACAAATAAAAAAATAAAATTTGAATATCCATTAGAAACTTGGTGGAAGACCCTTTTAACACAAAACAGGTGAAGGAAAATTATGTCTCAATTGCAGATACATGACGTGTGAATTTCTTTGATTTTCTTCTAAGTACGTAACAATAAAAAAATCAAGATTCATCAATTTTTTATTTACTTTTTTTTTATTCCTTCTCAGTCGCAGAGACCTTGAAATATACTTTTTACTACTGGAAATGTTATTGTTGATATCTATAATTCTGACTACTAAAAATGTGATTTTGGCAGGGAGGAATTAATAATTAAAATAAATTAATTTAGAGATGTGTGTAGTTTGATTATATATTACAACAGCCTGCCATAAAAAGTTGAAAAAGTTCCTTATTTTTTGCAACAATGGCATAAGCCTAGATTCCTCTGTCCTTTAAGTTAACATTAAATCCATAATCAAATCTGTTCTTTTTAAAGTTAAAATCCCTTCAATATTTAACATCCCAGCCATCACTTAATCTTTTGTCTGAAAAACCGAGACACCAGTTTCATTTTGGGGTACCGAGCAAAGCTCCAAAACACATCCAGGAAGTTCAAACCTCTCCTGACATATTTCTCACATACAACAAATTTATTCAGCTCCACAGATTTCCATGTTAACCTCAGATCTGTTAAAAGGTTTTTGATCCTCATAATTCACTTCCTATCTAAACATTAATCTTTATATTTTGTCCTAGAACATTAAATCTTCTAAAACCATTTGTTATATTCTAGATTATCAATTTAAAGCATCTTAGTATCTGGTAAAAGAAAACTTTATATACTGAAGTTATTACTATTGTTATGCTGTTAAATAACTGAAAACATAAAAGCTCTTTTTAATCAGTGTTTGATGAGCACAATGTGTAGTGATCGAACTTTTACTTTGTGTAAATGCCTGTTTTTTCTCATCTTCGTCATTCCACAGAACAAACCACACAGAATTAGTATAAAAGGAAATACAGAAATCTTAGAAAATTTATTTCAGACATTATAAAGGTTTTGTAAATAAAATATTGGAAAATGTGTTACAATAATTGCTCAGATATTTATAAAAGCTGAAAAGATGAAGAATATCAATGTTTCCATCAGTACATCAACATCATCATCTGTTCTATCTGATACAAAACAACTTCACTGTCACAACTTGAAAAATAGGAAATAATGGGAATCCTGTTACATCTTTGGGTCTATGGTCTAGTTATTAAAAAAATGCTTGTCTTTTGATCATTTTGTTTTTTGATAATGAGATTTTGAGCTTTTTAACTTTCATGTTCTAACAGCTTCTGCTGTGTCAACATCACAATCTCCTCCATCACTTCTGGTTTCAAGATGTCCTTGACCTACAGAAAAAAACAATAAAGCAGACACTTGTAGAGGAAAACAGATTCAAGGATAATGGTTTGATAAATAACTAAACAAATACTGATTGAGGGATGGACTTTGGTGCCTAAGAAGGTTCTCAAACAGCAAAGCTTTGTTGTGTAAACCTTTAAACTAAATACAGCTAAGCTAATGCAACCTATGGCAGCATTTCTGAGATGCAGGGATTAAGTAATCTGTACCCTAACTGTGAAAATAATAAATTTTGCCTTTTCAAACATCCAAAATCTGAAAGCTGAGGCAGTAAAAACAATTCTAAGTAAGACCACCAGATGGCGCAATAAATAATTGTAATAGTTCACCTTGAAACTCCAGTTTCATCACATTTGTTTGCATTTCTAAACAAATTGGTACTTTTTTTAAAGCAGACATTTTGAGATAAAAAACATTTTAAAGCATCACGAAAAACCTCGGCAACTCCTACCTGGTGCTGGAGTGATGATTCGTAGCAATACAGAACACTCGTGTCGAACAGAAGCACTTTGTGAGCAGCCAAAGCCAGCAGGCAGTTTCTCAACCGTGAAATCACCTCTCGATCTGACAGACTAACAGGCTGACAGGACAGAGACAGGAGAGACACAGAGAAACCACTTTAGTTTAGCTTCTTTGCAATTAGTGGAAATGAACGACAATCATGGTTAAAATAAATACAAACTCTTTCAGTTCCAAGTTTCACTTACAGCACAAGCACCTAAAAACCAAACAGTCCTTAGCGGACAGCAAAATGCATGAACACAAAGATTAAAGAGTCACTAACATTTGATTTTTCTTAATATTTCCTATTTCTGAGATTACAATTTAGTTACTATTCAACGTAATGCATGTTTTTGGTTTGTGTGAGGAAACCCACATGTGCAGGAGAACATGCAAACTCCACTCTGAAAGACCTCAGGCCAGGAGGCGACAGCTCTAGACGCCGGGCCACATTCTCCTTTTGTTGTAGTTCTCATCATGCTTTTCATCTGAGTTTTTGCCTTATAATACCTGGTCACGTCTAGCATCAAACAGGGACTTAATTAAGTTTAGGAGCACTGATGGATTTCCAAACTCTTTGTAGCACATCAATGTTTTGTAATAATCCTGGCATTACTCTTTGCTATTTTAAAATTCACACATATCCCCCCCAAAAAACAGCAACAATTTACTTAAATTATTTTATGAAACATTACTTTTCAAAGATTCAGATTCTACCTCCAGACTGGTGTAGAAGCCTCCAGCTTCTTCCTCCTGTTGTCCCGGAGTCGGATACAACCACACAAAGCCGTTATTGCCCAGGATGATGGAGGCACCACACGGTAGGTTGTGGAAATGTGTTTTCTGCCTCTTGATCAAAGAAGGTGAAAGCTGGACCAGCACTCCTTGACCCAACTAACAGTCATAAAGAACAAAAATAGATTGTTTTAATGTATACAGTCCCCTCCAAAGGTATCGGAACAGCAAGTCAAATTGCAGTCGTTGTATAATAAATTTAATACTTTTGATCATGCATAAAACAAAGTCATTAAATCTGAAAAAAAAGATACACGTGGATATGTAAATTATTAGTCTTGTGTTTAAGATATCAAATGTTCCAGTTTAGTTGTATTTAATCACATTTCTAAGTTTGTGTACTGTAACTTACTTTTCCATACTTTAAACTACGGGTGTGAAGAGAAAGAGCTCCATCTGAGAAAACCGACTGCACCTCTGCCTAAAATCCACAGAAAGAGTCCAACACGTTAATTATTAATACAAACAAATAAAAAAACAACTAAATATTTATGTTTAAAAAAATCATCTTACACTGATGAGATCACCTTCCTGGAGGTACTCTCTCATGGTGAGTTCATCTTCAGCTGACCTTCTTCTCTAAAAGTTCAAATCAAACAGTCCAGCAAACACTTCAAACAGGAAAACTTGTGACAAACGGAGCTTTAGTTCTGATCATCTCACCAGCTCTCCTCCAGGCAGATTGACCGAAGACAACAGGAGTACAGAGTCAAGTCTGGAGTTGGTCTCAACCTTCCACCGTTTCTGTTGCACCTAAATAAAATAAATCACATGGTGAACCATCAAGCTGAAATGACAGCAACTTGTTATCATGAATATAGCGGACAGAGTCCCTCACCTCTGTGATTCTGCCAACTACAACATCTCCCACTTCACCATTAAATCTGCAAACACAGAATGCATTTACATACTGTAAGCAAAGCAAGTTTTGAATGTTAGCCTGTTATTTTATGTTTCAGGTGTCTCAGTTAAACACCTCACCTTGTCTTTAGCGGTCTGACACATATTAGTTTGTCCACTCTCTGGACTTTTCCAGCGACTGAAGCTGTCAGCTTGTCCTCGTCAACATATGTCCCATGACCCCTGTGGAAAACAGACACGTTTATATAAAAATATGCATACAAGTCTCAAACATAATTTTCTTTATTTTGTTGTTATTTCTGTGCTAATACGCTCTTGTCTTATTTTTTTTTACTTTCTGTGCAGTAAACTCATTACTCACCTCATGAAACCAGTGTCTGAGGTAATAACATCACCAGGCACGACCAGATCTTTTCTGTCTAAAGCAGAAACAGACAGAGACGTGATTGTTTTCTTGACAGTCGGTAATCTCATGTCCACAGCCATGCTGTCTTTTTTCGTGTTTCTTCTTCTTCTCTTCCGTTTACGGCAGCGTCCACAGAGCTTTACCTTTGACTCACAAGATACCGAAGAGCAATAACCCTGAATGTCTATTTCTCTAATAGTAGTTTTTTTAATCACCCGCCTCAATAATATATAAAAAGTGTAAATTAGCTGTAGCAGTAACGGACCATGCTAACCAACAACGTTTCTTCACCTACTTTCTTCTTTACGAAGTCAGTGACTTTTACCGCCCCCGTGTGGTATGGAGTAGATATGACAGCAGAATGTGTTTTACCTTTGTCGTGCCCATAAATTATTTATGTTTTCAGTGTAGTGAATAAGAGTTTAGCCGTTTTTTTTTTATTTATGTGTGCTGCATAGTTAAGTTTAAATTAATTAAAATAAATTATTTAATACTTTTTTTTACAGTTCAGATTACCCACCCTTCTTGGAGTCCTTAGATGGGGTACTGGAGGGTGCCCCTCCTGGGGACTCCCTTGTTCTGCTGGGGGACTTCAACGCTCACGTGGGCAATGACAGTGAGACCTGGAGGCCTGGAGGGTCTCACTGTCCTCCCAAACGTTCCTCCCAACCACGTGGTTGGGAGGAACG